AAATATAGGTTTGTTTCAATTTCGCATAGATTAAAAATATATAATTAATGTAGTTGAAAATATAATTTTTCTTCCATTTTTTAAAATATATTCTTATATTAAATAATGATTGAAATACAAGTAATTCATATTTGTTGATAACAAAACATATTAAAAACGAACATATTAAATAACTAAAAGATTATTTATATTCTCGAGGAAAGTGACTTTATTCTTTTCATATAAACAATTACCAATAACATTCCATGAGTTGGACCCCCACCAAGCTGTGACGTGCAAAAACATTATCATGTTCCTCAGCCAGTGCCAATGGCATAGGAAAAAATGAGCACAATCACCACAACAGAGATTCCACCTTATCATCTCCCACCAGCAAACCACCTGACTGAGAATTTTCCCATCTCCCAGAAAACAATCTTGAATTTTCTAAACACAAAATGCAGCACTTCCATGGAAAACCTCGAGCAGGCTCATGCTTTAATCCTGAAAACTGATCATTTTCAAGACCATTATGTTGCAGGGACATTAGTGAAATGCTACGCAAATCCTCGATTGGGCAGCCTAGAGAGTTCAATCAGAGTTTTGGAACATGTACAAAATCCAAATGTTTTTGTATGGAATTGTATCATTAAAGGGTGTGTGGATAATAAAGAATTCTTTAAGGCCATCTGTTTTTATATTGGGATGGTAAGTGTAGATTCCAGGCCCAATAAGTACACATACCCCCCATTGTTTAAGGCCTGCATTGTAAAGGAACTTATTGCAGAAGGGATGCAACTCCATGGTCATATCATTAAACATGGTCTTAATGCAGATGGCCACATAATTAGTTCAGGAATTCGGATGTACGCATCTTTGGGACGTCTGGAGGATGCCCAAAACATGTTTGATGAAAGTGCACAAAGAGATGTTGTTTGCTGCAATGCCATGATTGATGGTTGTATGAAATCCCGAGATCTCGAATCAGCTAGGGAGTTGTTTGATGACATGAAGGAGAAGAATGTTGGCTCTTGGAATACAATGGTCTCTGGCTATGCTAACAATGGACAGATTGAGGAGGCTAAGAAATATTTCGATGAAATGCCAGAGAAGGATGAGGTATCCTGGAGTGCAATGATTGATGGTTATAGCAAAGGAAGGTATTTCAAGGAGGCTTTGGAAGTTTTCAATGCAATGCAAGGAGAGGAAATTAAACCTAGTAAATTTGTTCTTTCAAGTGTACTGGCTGCTTGTGCTAATGTTGGGGCTCTTGCTCAAGGGAAATGGATTCATGATTATGTTAGAAGGAATTCAATTCCATTGGATGCAGTATTAGGGACTTCTTTGGTAGATATGTATGCTAAATGCGGACGAATTGACTTGGCGTGGGAAGTTTTCGAGAAAATGAAAGATAAAGAAATTTTTTCTTGGAATGCAATGATTGGGGGACTTGCAATGCACGGCCGAGCAGAAGATGCAATTGAGCTCTTCGTGAAGATGTTAAGGCAAAACTTGAAACCAAATGATATCACATTTACAGCACTTCTAAACGCTTGTGCTCATACAGCATTGGTTGATAAAGGCCTAGAGTATTTCCATTCCATTGAACAAGTTTATGAACTAAAACCAACATTAGAGCACTATGGATGTGTCGTTGATCTCTTAGGTAGGGCGGGACTATTAACTGAAGCGGTCGGACTAATAAATCATATGCCAATGAAGCCAAATGCTGTTGTTTATGGCGCCCTTCTAAGTGCTTGCGGGATACATGGCAATGTTGATTTAGCGGAGAAAATCGGGGAAACCCTGCTTGAATTGGAGCCTGAAAACAGCGGTCGATATGCATTGCTGTCAAATATCTATGCAAAGGCAGGGAAATGAGATAATGTCGCAAAATTGCGAAAATCAATGAAAGAAAGAGGGATGAAAACTATCCCAGGAAGCAGCACGATTAATTTGAATGGCATTGTTCACGAATTTAAAGTAGGTGATTCGTCCCACCCACAAATAAATGATATCCATTTGATGCTGGAAAAGATCATTCAGAAGATTGGCCATGTGCCTGACACCTCACAAGTTTTGTTCGATATTAGTGAGGAAGAGAAGGAAACTGCACTTAGTTACCACAGTGAAAAGCTGGCAATAGCATTTGGAATACTAAATACTGCTCCAGGAACAACCATTTGTATTGTGAAGAACTTGAGGGCCTGCAAGGATTGCCACACAGCTGCCAAACTGATTTCTCAAGTGTACAAGAGGGAAATAATTGTAAGAGATCGAGTGCGATTTCATCATTTTAAGAATGGACAATGTTCTTGCAATGATTTCTGGTAGATGAAGATGGAGGACTAGTGGCAAAATAAAGATAGAATAGAGCCCATTTGGTTGACAAAAAGTCAGTTGCAAGTTTGACTTGTGAAATTTGGAAAATTGCACATTTAGTCTTTAGTGCTGTTGAACCACTTTATGTAAAAGTGGACACTCTCGAGGGGATTTACATTTTCCGATGAAGAAGTGATGATGAAATTCGAATCCTGTATCTTTGTCTAGTAGCATGTTAAAGGTTTATGTCATTAGATAAGGTTAAATGTATACCATTTAAATATAATTGTCAACAAGGCCTCTTACTTTCGTGTCCTCAAACTTTAAATATGGACTATTACATCTCCAACCTTTAGTTCCTCTTACTGTTGTGTTTGTTCACATATTTGAAATTTGGAATTTTAAATATGCAAATCAGTTTTCATATCTTTTATAGTGTGGGTGATGGTGATATTGGTTTTAGAGGAGGTAACAATGGTGGGGATAGGGCAGGCGCGGAGCTAGCACCTGGCCAAGGGTGCTGCCGCACGTGCTAGGACCGCCTGGTAGCAATCGCCAATCAGGTCGTTGCAGAAGTTGCAGAGCCGGTCGATTCGGAAGAAGAATTGAAGAAGACGAAGATGAAAGTGAAGAGCCTGTTTTTCTTTTTCTGGGTTTGGGCTTAGTGAATTGACTGTGAGTAATTGTTGGGCAATTGGGCCTCTTTTTGTTTAGCCCAATTCTAAAATGAAATAAACAAATGGTCCAATTTATCAACCATTGTCAATCGTGCAGCCAAGAATCCAAAATTCTTCCTTCTGTCCAATTCCCAAATGGTGGAAGCCTAAGTGCCAATTGCCAAACCCATTTCCTCCCTTCTCCTTTCTCCAATCCACATGACGCTACTGGCAGGCAGACTCCATCAAAGAAGAGGTAGCATCGACGACGCCACAAGGAGGAGGAGTCGCCGAAGCCAAGTGCCAACGACCGCTGCAGTGCCAAGTCGATTGCCATGAGTGAGTCCGTGAGATCGTGATTGCCGACTGCTGCTGCCGTTTCTGGGTTTCTCCTTTCTGCTTTCTTTGTTCAAGTTGGTGACTCTCTCTCAATTCTCCCTCTTTCTTTTTTTTTTTTTTTTTTTTTTTTTTTTTTTTTGGC